CTGACCGCTCCTGGCACGGTTTGCGTCGATCTTCTCCTTGACGTAGGGAAGCAGATCGGGGGCGTATTGCACCTCATCGAAGATGACCGGCGCCGGGCACAATTCCAGGAAGCCGCGCGGGTCTTCCGCGGCGGCCACGCGAACGTCCGGCGGCTCCAGTGATACGTACCGGTAGCGCCCCTCGAAGAGGTGTCGTAGCAGGGTCGTCTTGCCCGACTGGCGCGGCCCGGTCAGGACCACGGCCGGAAACTCCGAGGCCGCTTTTGTTAGCACCGGCTCCAGTGAGCGATTGACATATCGTGAGTTCATAAGTGGAAATTATGCATTTGTAATGCAAATTGTCGAGGACGATTTGCCCTCTTCGCCCCTGGAAATGGCCACGGTGCAAGCGGCTGTAAGTGCCAAGTGAGTTCTAACTCCACCTATCGTAATCGTGGCGTTGCAGGTAGCGGATGAGCGCCATGTGGGCGGCCAAACGGGTCATTTCCGGGCGGTCGATGTGGCCGGCGGCCAGGACGCCGACGATGCCGCCTTGCTGCTCGATGTCGGGGCTGGTGGTGATGTATTGGCGGGCAGCTTGGAAGGGTTGTCGATGCAGGAAGATGTCGCGCACCAGACGGCGGGGGTATTCAAAACCGGGCGAGATACCGAAGTAGTCGCAACTGCCGTCGAACAGGCAGCAGACGTCAAAATTGTAGAGCGTGAAGGCAGTGGGGGTCACCTCGATGAAGCCGCTCTCGACGCCGATACCGAGCGCGACGTGTCCGGCTTGTGCGTCTTCCGTCTCGAGGTGTTCAAACGCGGCGCGCGCCCGGTTTTGGGAGCCTTGTATGGTGGCGGGGAATCCCCAAGGTTCCTCATTGACACCGGTTTCAACCTGGCAGGTCCAGGTCTCTGGTGATCGCAGGTCGGGGCCTTGAACCGCCGCCGGCAAGCCGTTGAAGGCGGCTTGTACGCCGCGGATTTTGGCACCGTTTTGCGAGCCCAGCATGACGCGCTGAATGGTTTCCATGCTAAAACTCGAACGGCACGTCCGACAGGCGCGCGCCGATCTCGCGCACGATGTCCTTCTCTTCCTCCAGCGAGGCGGCCTGGAATGTCACCGAGAACCGAATATACGCCCCGGCGTCGTCCCACGGCACGGCGCAGATCAGCTTCTCGCGGATGAGAAACTGCGAGAAATCCTCCCCGGTGTCGAACCGCTGACCGCCCACGACGCCCCGAGGCGCCCGAACGTACAGGAAGAAAGAGGCTGCCGGTTTTTTCGCCTCGAAGCCCATAGTGCTGAGGGCATCTGCCAGCATCGCCAGGCGACGGTTGTACTTGTCGGCGATTTCCTCGGTGATTTCGGGGTGCTGCAAGGCGTACGTGGACGCCATCTGGATGGCCTTGAATTGGCCGGAGTCGAAGTTGTCCTTGGTGTCGGCGAACGCCCGCACCGCCAATTCGTTGCCGCAAATCCAGGCCAGGCGCCATCCCGTCATGTTGAAGGCCTTGGACATGCTGTGGATTTCCACCCCCACCTCCTTCGCGCCCGGAATGGAGAGAAAACTCAACGGCTGGCCCTCGAATACCAGGGCGGCGTAGGCGGCATCCTGCACCACCAGTAGTTTGTGCTGCTTGGCGAAGGCCACGACTTCTTCGAAGAATTCGGGGGTCGCCACCGCGCCGGTCGGGTTGTTCGGGTAGTTGAAGAGGAGGATTTTGGCCTTTGCCAACTGCTCGTCTGTCAGACTGCTGAGGTCGGGTAGGTAAGCGTTCTCCTCCAACAGCGGCAGGGTGTAAACGTCGCCGCCGTACCAGCGGCAGTGGGTGCCGAGGACCGGGTAGCCCGGAGCGGTCGTAATGACGGCGTCGCCCGGGTTAATGAAGCACGTTGGCAGGAAAGCCAGGGCGTTCTTGGCGCCGACGGCGTGGGTGATCTCGCTGGCCGGGTCAAGGTCCACGCCGTACACGCGCGCCATGTACTGCGCGACGGCCTCTTTGAACTCCGGCAGGCCGTTGTCGGAATAGCCGCGGTTTTCGGGCATCGCTGCCTGCTCGCTCAGCGCGTTAACGACGCCTGGATAGGCCATGCCGTCCGGCTCGCCAACGCCCATGTCGATCAACGCCAGGTCGGGACGCGCCGCGACGGCGGCGTCGCGGGCGCGGCGGATCTTCTCGAATTTATACACCGCCGTGTCTTTGCCGTAGTTTCTGCCGCCGATGCGCTCGGCGAACAATTCCTGTAGGTAGCTTTCCTGCATGTTGTGTCTCCGCGGGCAAAGGCAGATGGCTCTTTTGCCATATGGAACGTTGATTTACTATGGCTTGTGGCGTGCCTCGGACGTTCGAGGCGTCGGCAAGTCAACCTCGCAACCCATGATGAACAGGACCTAAAACGGTCGGGCATCTTAGCATGAGAAAGTGAAGCAATGAAAGCGACGCGCATTGATCATATAGCGGTGGTGGTGAAGGATTTGGAGGCTGCCGTAGCGACCTATCAGCACAACTTCGACCTGGGAAAAGCGGGCGGCGGGGAAGTGCCGTCACTGGGCATCCACAACGCCTTTTTGCAGATTGGCGGCGCCAGCATCGAACTGGTGACGCCGACTTCAGCGACAGGCCCGGTAGCGGAATTTCTCGAGCAGCGTGGCGAGGGGATGTATCTTTTGTCGCTGGAAGTCGAAGACTTGGACGAGGCTGTGGCGCATCTGCAAGACACGGGTGTACGGGTCAGGGTCGCCGAGGGCTCGACGGGACAGCGCTTGGCCTTCGTCAGCCCGAAGTCGACGCACGGCGTGTTGTTGCAACTGCTCGAACGGCAAGACGCATCGGACGCTTGAGGGGCGGGGTTCAGAAGGCCGTAATGTCCTTGAGACACAAGGTTCCCAGAACCCGCCGCGTTTCCGGGTCGAGCACCGGCAGGTCCTCGGTCTGCGTGTTCTGGAAGAGCTTGAGCGCGTCGGCAATCGAGGTGTCGTACAGAACGAAATGGCAGGGGATGCTGGCAAACTGCTCGACCGCGCCCTCCAGCACATCGCTGCCTTGCAAGAGCGCCCGGCGCAGGTCGCCGTCGGTAAAGATGCCTGCCAGGGCGCCATCGGCGTCGACCAGGATGGCCGAGCCGGTTTTGGCGTCGCTGACCAATTGGATTACGCGCTTGAGTTGCGCGGTGGGTTCAACGCACACGGTTTTGTCCCCGGCCCGCATGAAATCCTGCACATAGCGGAACCGCTGTCCGAGGCTGCCGGCCGGGTGGTTCAGTCCAAAATCCGCCTCGCCAAACCCTTGCGCTTCGGCCATTGCCAGGGCTAGCGCGTCGCCGATGGCCAGCATCACCGTCGTGCTCGATGACGGCGCCAAACCCAGATAGCACGCCTCCCGCACCTCGCCCGTTTCGATGCAAACCGCCGCCATTCGCCCCAGGGTGCTGGTGCGGCGGCTGGTGATCACCACCACGGCGCAGCCGATGCGCCGCAACTCTCCCGCCAAGCGAATCACCTCGATGCTCTCGCCGGAATACGAGAACAGCAGGGCGCAGTCGTGCTCGCTCACGAACCCCAGGTCGCCGTGCAGGGCCTCGACGGGGTGCATGAAGACCGCAGCGCTGCCGGTGGACGACAGGGTGGAAGCGACCTTCATGGCCACGATGCCGGCCTTGCCTACGCCGCTTACGATGATGCGGTTGCGGTCTCGCTGCTCCTCGTCGTGCAGCAGGGTTTCACACGCCTCGGCGATGACCTCGCCACCGTCGCTGAAACGCTGTACGACGCCCGCCAGGGCCTCCTGCTCGTGGCGCAGCACGTTGAGGAAACTGGCCGTCATGTTGTTGCGTATCCGATCGGTGCTCACGCGGGGCCTCCCGGTGATGCGGTGTCGTCGGCATCTATTGCAAGACGACCGGCGGCGACGCCTGAAGCGCTTCGCGCACTCGTAACACTTGTTGCAGGAGCTCTTCGAGCTGGTGCAGCGGAACCATGTTCGGTCCGTCGCTCGGGGCATTGTCGGGGTCTGCGTGGATTTCCATGAACAGCACGTCGATGCCGAGCGCCGCGGCGGCGCGTGCCAGATGGGGCACGAATTGCCGCTGGCCGCCCGATCGGCTCCCCTGTCCTCCCGGCATCTGTACGCTGTGCGTGGCGTCGAAAACGACGGGGTAGCCAAGCTCGCGCATTTGCGGCAGGCCGCGGAAATCGACCACCAGGGCGTTATAGCCGAAGCAGGTGCCGCGCTCGGTCAAGAGAATGTCGTGCGCGCCGCCGGACTCCAGCTTGCCCACCACGTGCCGCATGTCCCAAGGGGCGAGGAACTGGCCCTTCTTCACGTTGACGGCCCGGCCCGTGGCGGCGGCGGCCAGTAGCAAGTCGGTTTGGCGGCACAGAAAGGCCGGGATTTGCAGCACGTCCACGACCTCTGCCACGGTCGCCGCCTGGTCGCTTTCGTGCACGTCCGTCAACACCGGCACCCCAACCTCGTCCTTGACGCGCTGGAGAATCTTGAGGCCGGCATCCATCGGGTGGCCCCGGAAGGCATCGATGGACGTCCGGTTGGCCTTGTCGAAAGAGGACTTGAAGATCATCGGGATGCCCAGACGATCGCAGACCTCGCGGATGCCGTCGGCCATTCTGAGGGTGAAATCCTCGGACTCGATGACGCACGGGCCGCCGATCAGCGCGAGTTGGCGGCCGTCGCCAACGTGCAGGGTGTCGGTGATTCTGCTCCTGATCATGCCATAACTCCTTGTAAATGTGTCTTAACGATAGCGTTGCAGCAACTCGTCAATGAGTTCAGTCGTTGAAACACCCTCAATGTAAGGTATGAGGTGCACCGAGCCGCCGGATGCTTCCACTTCTTCTCTGCCCACCACCGTCTCGAGCGTGTAATCGCTGCCCTTGACAAGCACGTCCGGCTTGAGGGATTTGATCAATGCCAAAGGGGTGGCTTCACCAAACGGAACCACGTAGTCCACGCAAGCGAGGGCGGCCAGCATGCGCGCCCGTTCGTCCTGCGGGCGCAGGGGGCGATCATCCCCTTTCAGCAGGCGTACAGAGGCATCGTCGTTTCAGTGCCACGACCAGGCAATCGCCGAGCGCCCGCGCCTGCTGGAGGTAGTGAATGTGGCCGCCGTGCAACAGGTCGAAACAACCATTCGTGAAGACGACTCGCTCGCCCCGCTGGCGATACTGCTGAAGCGCCCTCGACAACTCGTCGCAGGTCCGCAATTTGCTTTGCCAGGGAGCGCTGTGCACCCCTAAATGAGCCTCCAGTTCCTCCCGGTGCGCAACAGCCGTGCCTGCCTTGCCGACGACGATACCCGCCGCCACGTTGGCCAGCCGCGCCGCCTCCGCGTATGACAGGCCGCCGATGGCCGCGGCCGCAAAGGCGGCGATCACGGTATCCCCGGCTCCGGTCACGTCGTACACGTCGCGGGTATGTGCGGGCAAATGCTGCGGGGCTTGCGGGGGATGGAACAGGCTCATACCCGCCTCGCCGCGCGTCACCAGAAGGGCTTGGGCTTCGCTTTGCCGCAACAACGATTCGGCGGCAGTAGCCAGAGACGTTTCCTCTTCCAAGGGGTCGCCCGTCGCGTGCCTGACCTCGGCCAAGTTGGGAGTTAGCACGGTGGCGCCGCGGTATTGGGCGAAGTCCCGCGCCTTGGGATCGACGAAAATTGGCACATTGACGGCCTTTGCTTTGGCAAAGAGGGGCGCTAACAGGTCGGGCGTGCAGACGCCTTTTGTTGTAATCGGAGCAGATGAGGCCATCCACTTCAGCCAGGATGGATTCGGCCCCCGCCAGAATTTGGGCAATCAGCCCGGCCGGTAACGGCATGCGGCTTTCCTGATCCAAACGCACCAATTGTTGGTGTCGGGCGATGAGGCGCGTCTTCTCGGTGGTCGGGCGGCTGCCATCCTGCACCAGAAGGTCATCGGCAATGCCTTGCGCCCGCACTTGCTCCCGCACGTAACGCCCTGTGACGTCGTCGCCGACCACACCCGCCAGACGCACCTCGCAACCCAGGGCGCGAAGGTTCGCCGCCACGTTGGCAGCGCCGCCTAAGACGTGCCGTTTTTCGGTGCTTTCGAATACGGGTACCGGGGCCTCGGGGGAAATGCGGGAGACGTGCCCGGACAGGTAGGTGTCGCACATGACATCGCCGACAACGAGGACCCGTATCGGATTCCGAGGCCAGAGGTTGTGCGGCAGTGTGCTCATGGGCGGCAATGGGGTATCAGTTTCCGAACAGGGCGTCTTCCACCAACTCGCACAGGACGTGGATGATGGTGAGGTGCCCCTCCTGGATGCGCTGCGTCGAACACGACGGCACGACAATGCTCAGGACGCCATCCATCTGCGCGACGTGACCACCGTCGTTGCCCGTCAGGGCCACTCGCTTCATCCCGGCGCTGGCGGCGGCCTCGAAAGCCTTGATGACATTCGCTGAATTGCCCGACGTCGAGATGCCGACGAGAACATCATCGGCAGCGCCAATGGCCTCTACCTGTCTGGCGAATACTTCTTCGTAACCGAAATCGTTGGCGCACGCGGTCAGGATGGAGGTGTCGGTCGTCAGCGCCACGCATGGCAGCCCGCGCCGGTTCTTCTGGAACCGGCCAACCAGTTCGCCGGCCATATGCTGGGCGTCGGCGGCGGAACCGCCGTTGCCGCAAACCAGGACCTTATGGCCCTTTGCCAGCGCGTCGATGAGCAGGCGCGCGGACCATTCGATGCTTTCGGTATGGCCGGCCAGCCGCTGTTTGGTGCTGATGGCGTCGTGCAGGATGTCGGCTATTTTGCTTTGCATGGTATCCATGGTCGTCAGTCGGCTGCGGAGAGCGTCAACAACTGCGCTTCAACCAGGGCGCGACGCAACGCTTCTCGTTCGACCGGGGTGATGGGAACGAGAGGTGGACGCACGACCGCGCGCTGCTGTCTTCCCAACAGAACCAGAGCTTCCTTCATGCGATTGTGCATGTCCACGGCTGGTGCTGCGTAGAAAACCTGCACCAAGGGACGCAGAAGTTCGTGCAGACGCTGGCCCTCGGCCAGGTCGCAACGTTGCACCGCCTGCCAAAGGGCCACTTGCAGATCGGCCACGACGCTGCCCATGCCGGACAGCAGGCCATCGCAGCCCAGCACCAGCGAGGAGAGCAGCCAGGCGCTGTGGGTGCTGAGTACCGAGAAGGGGCGTCCGAGGTTGTGCAGGGCGTTGATGTTGTTGGTGTGTTGCAGCCCGTCGTTGCACCAGTCCTTCATGGCGACGACGGAGGGAACCGTTTCGGCGAGGCGGACGAGGGTGTCCGTGGTATAGCCCTGCCCGCCGGCCAGCGGGTAATTGAAAGCGATGAGTGGCAAATCGGTCGCCGAAGCGATGGTGGCGAAATGTGTCAGGACCATCTCGGGACGACGCTGGGCGCCCATGATGAAGGGCTGCGGCGGGAAAATCAGCAGGCACCGGGCTCCGGCGCTTTGGGCCAGGCGGGCCAGCCGGGCGCCTTGCAGGGAGTCGTCCGCGTAGATGCCGGAAATGATGGGCAGACTGTCGCCCAGTTCGTCCAGGGTAATGTCCAGCACCTCGCGCTGCTCGTCCACAGACAGCGCGTGCACCTCGGCGGCGTGGCCGTTGGTGGTGATTGCGGTGATGTCCTCCACTGCGGCCAGATCGCGCAGGTGTTGGCGATACGCCGGGGCGTCGATTTTCCAATCCGGCGTGAAGGGCAGCAGGTTGGCGGGAATCACGCCGTGCGGGATGTAGGCCGTCATCGCGTCTCCTTTACGCCGGCGGCTGGCCGGACAGCAGCGCCCCGACCTCGGACGGCTCGAAGCGAATGCCGACGTAGAAGCCGCCGAACAGGGCGTAGTGCGAACTGGCGGGGTCGAAGCGCATCTCGTAAATCAGCTTCTTGAACACCAGCGGGTCATCGGCGAACAGGGTCACGCCCCATTCCCAGTCGTCGAAGCCCACCGAGCCGCTGATGATCTGCATGACCTTGCCGGCGTACTTGCGCCCCACCATGCCGTGGCCGCGCATCAACTGCCGGCGCTCTTCCATGGACAGCGCGTACCAGTTGTAGGTCTCGCCGCGTTTCTTGTCCATGGGATAGAAACACACGTAGCGGCCAGCCGGAACGGCGGGATAGAGGCGAGGGTGAAGCGCTTCTTTCTGCGCCGCCAACTCGCGTTCGCGGGCGGCCTCGTAGCCCTCGACGCCGGGCTCCAGACCCTCCGCGGCGAGCTTCCGGTTGACGACTCCCAGCACCTCATACAAGCCCAACTCGACGACGGATAGATAGCTGTAGGCAGGCTGCAGGTAAGGGAACAGCGCGGTCTGGCGCAGCCCAAGCTCAACGCCGTTGAGGGCTTCCAGCGTGGGCCGGAAATGCACCGCCAGGATGTCCGCCTTGTGGCCCAGGACGCTGAAGAAGGCGCTCATGCCCTGTTCCGGAGTGGCCTGCGCGGCCAGCCAGTCGGTGCTTTCAGCGATGACGACGTCACGCTCCGCTGGCGTCATGGCGCGCCACTCGGGCCACTTCACCGTGTACATGTCGTGCTGGATGTACCAGCCTTCCAGGGTTTCGGGTGCCTCCGAGCGGGTCATGGTGACGCCTCCTGTTCCACGCGGCGGTCAGGGGGTGATTTCTTCGGTCATACAGACGCCGGGAGCGGGCCGTAAGTCGAGTTAGCCTGTATGCAAGCGCAGTAATATAAGTGTGCGTATAGGTTCAGAGAAAGAGAGTATACTATGTCCCGACACCATGCTAATTCGGTTATCGTAACACAGCGCAGCAACTTATGAAGGAGCAGGTGCGATCATGTCCGATGCTTCCGACGGTCTCGTGCAATGGCTTGAACGGATTTATCAGCGGCTGACCGAATATCGGGTTGACGCCTATCTGGTTCCCTCTTCCGATGCCCACCTGAACGAATACGTGCCAACCTACCAGTGCCGCCGCGCCGCCATCAGCGGCTTTGCCGGGTCGGCGGGCGACGTGTTGCTGTCGCCGCATGGGAATCACCTGTTCGTGGACTCGCGCTACCACCTGCAGGCCGAGCAGGAAGTCGATACCGATCAGTTCCGTGTCCACAAGGTTGGATTGGCCGACGCCTATACCCTGAAGGGCTGGCTGACGGAAATGGAGAAGCAGCGCGGGACGCTGCGGGTTGGCTTCGATCCGTTTCTGCACCCCATGGCGTCCCATGTGTCCTACGCTGCGGCCCTGTCGGCGTCCGGTTCGGCCTTGGTACCGATCAACGTCAATCTGATTGACGAGGTGTGGGAGGACCGCCCGCCGGCGCCAGCGCAACCGATCTACGCTCTGCCCGATGAAGTGACGGGCCGTCCGGTCGGCGACAAGCTGGCGGCCATTCGCCAACGGATGACCGAGGCCGGAGCCGCGGCGCTGATCGTCACGAAGCTGGACGAGATCGCCTGGATCACCAACTTGCGGGGCAGCGACATTGCCTACAATCCGGTGTTCGAGTCCTACCTGATCGTCGAGAGCGAGCGTGCTACCTGCTTCACCCGCGCCACACCTTCTGCGGCCCTTCGGCAGGAGCTTGCGGGCCATATCGATTTCCAGGCTTATGAGGCTTACCCCCAGGCGGTGCGACAGTTGGAGATACCGGCCGGACAGGCGGTGTGGCTCGACCCGACGGTACGACGATGGGCACGCGCTTGCTGCTGCCGGAGACGGTGCGCGTTCATGAACGCCGCAACCCCGTGGTGGCGATGAAAGCGGAGAAGAACGACGCCGAGGTCGCCGGCATGCGGCGGGCGCATGTACATGCCGCGGCGGCGAAGATTCGCAGTCTGGCCCGTCTTGAGCAGCTTCTCGACGCAGGCCAAGGCGTGAGCGAACGGGCGTACTCGGAAATGCTGCACGAAGAGTATTCCAGCGAAGAAGGATTCAGCGACCTGAGTTTCACCACCATTGCCGCGGCTGGGGCGAACGGGTCGATTGTGCACTACAGTCAGGCTAGCGACGACGTTTTGCTTACCGACGGGGACCTGTTCCTAGTGGATTCCGGGGCGCAGGTCATGGGGGGAACGACGGACGACACGCGCACCGTCGTTGTCGGCTCGGGCACGGACCGCCAACGCCGACTGTACACCCTTGTCCTGCGCTGTCACATCCAACTGGCGAGGCAGAAATTTCCCGAAGGCACCAGCGGCGCGGCGCTGGACGCGGTGGCGCGTTCCCTGATGTGGAACGCCGGTTTGGATTACGGGCACGGCACCGGGCACGGCGTGGGCGCGTTTCTCAACGTCCATGAGGGGCCGCAGCGCCTGTCGCCGCACGGCAGCGGCGAGGCGCTGAAGCCCGGCATGGTGGTCTCCAACGAGCCCGGCTACTACGAAGAAGGCTGGGGCGGCATCCGCCTGGAGAACCTGTACGTCGTGGTGCCTGATGACGACATGCCGCCGCACCCGTCCGGAAAGGGTTGGTTGCGGTTCGAGCCGCTGACGCTGATCCCCTTCGACCAGCGCCTCATCGACCAGGAACAGCTTTCCGCCGCCGAGGCCGCTTGGCTCGACCAGTATCACGAGCGTGTCTTGCAAACGATGGAACCGCTGCTGGCGTCGGAATACCGCGCTTGGCTGCGGGATGCCTGTGCACCGACGGCGTGATGGTTGCAACCGTCAGACGGGGAGAAGGGTAAGCATGAAAATACGGATCGGGATTGGATTTTCCGGCTGGCCGTTCGGGAGCATCGAAGATTTCTGGGCAATGGTGGATCTCGTGGAAGAAAGCGGGCTGGATTCAATCTGGCTGAATGATCGTATCCGCAACCCTGCCCCGGCGCTCGAACCCATCACGGCATTGGCCATGATTGCAGGGCGGACACAACGCATCAAATTCGGCATGAGCGTGGCGGTGCTGCCGGTGCGCGACCCACTGATCGTGGCCAAGGAGATTGCCACCATCGACTTCCTCAGCAAGGGCCGCATGCTGCCGGCTTTCGGGTTGGGGCTGGCTCAGGAAGCGGAGTGGCTGGCGGTGGGCAGGACGCCGCATCGCCGGGGCGCTATGACCGATGAGGCCGTGCCGCTGATGCGCCGTTTGTGGAGCGAAGAGGCGGTTTCCCATGCGGGCGAGTTCTACAGCACCCACGAGTTGACCATCCAGCCCAAGCCTTGCCAGCAACCCTTGCCGGTCTGGTTTGGGGGCCGCTCTCAGGCGGCTTACAAGCGGGTGGCCCGTTTGGGCGACGGCTTCTTGGGATCGTACCAACCACCGTCGGAGGCAGGGAAAGCCGTATGCGCGATTCGCAGCGCGGCCGAGGTGTATGGGCGAAAGGTGCCGGAGGACCATTACGGAACGATCGTTCCGTTTCACTTCGGGGATGGGGATCTCAGCGATGAGATCCAGACGTTGATGAGGCGTATCGACCCAGACACACCGTTCGAATCCTACGTTGCCTGGCGTGAGCCGGATGCCATTCTGCGGCGCATCGACGAATACGTGGAAGTGGGGGTCAGCAAATTTGTCCTGCGCCCGATGGTTTCCGGCGCGGCGTTCTACGATCAGTTGGCCCGGTTGGCCAAACTCGTCGTGCCCCGGTATCACACCGATTGAGCCCGGCCATCTATGAAATGGTATCGGCGACCTCTTCCAACAAGGTATCCAGTACCGCGGCACGAGACTGCAGAGGCAGCACCAGCGTCTGCTCAATGACTTCCTTCAAATCCGCCATATCGGGATGCATGTCTTCGGTCATGCCTTCCAGCGTTAGAACGGCCTGTTCCAACGAATCCTTGGCGTCTTCCAGTCCCATGAGCACTTCTTCCATCAGAACGATGGCCATATTTTTGTCCTCCTTGACCCGTTGACATTATATGTTTGCGGGACGGTACTTGGTCACGTCGCCGCCGATGTTAATTCTTGCAACAGGGCACTGTAACGTTCCGCTCCGCCCTGCTCCCAGGCTGTCAACAACGCAGTGCCAATGATTCCGATGTCAACGAGGCCTTTGACTCGCTGTAAATCCTGATGTGTGCGGAGGCCAAATCCCAGCGCCATCGGTAAGGGTGTGGCTGAACGACAACGTGCGATGAAGGCTTCAAGGCCCTCATCAACTTGCGTTTGGCGGCCGGTAACTCCCCGACGCGCGACGCAATACACGAAGCCACTGGCTTTGGCGGCGATTTGCTGGAGTCGCGGCTCGGAGTTGACCGGCGTCATCATGACAATCGGCGCTTGCTGGTAGGCGGCAGCGTATTGATGCAGGTCGTCAGCCTCTTCCGGCGGCAGATCGGCTACGATGAACCCGCCACCGCCATGCTCCGCCAGGCAAGCGCAAAAGCGCTCGTGACCCATCTGAAGGATGCTGTTGTAGTAGCCCATCATCAGGACTTTGAAGTCAAATGCGGCGGTGACCCGCTGCATGAACGCGAAGTAGTTTTCCCAGGTAACGCCGGCGTCGAGTGCGCATTGGTTAGCGCGCACGAACACCGGACCGTCGGCGATCGGCTCACTGAAGGGTAGCTGGAGTTCCACAAGGTCAACATCCGCCCGCTGCATGGCTTCCAACATGGCCATGTTGGCCTCGAAGGACGGGTATCCGACGATGGCATGGGTCATCAGCAGGAGCCGTTTTCGCTGCAAGCGCTGGCGAATATAGTCTTCCACAGGTGTCATGCCGGTATCCCGTCGTTTGCGGTTTTCCCTGCATCCCATTCCCCCACTTTTTGCCGCAAGAATGCCCGCCAGGGGTCGTCGCCGAGCGCTTCGGCGATCGTGAAAATGTCCTTGTCGCCCCGCCCCGACTGGTTGATCAGAATGCTGTCTTGCGGCGACAAATCCGGTGCTTCCTTCAGCGCGGTAACAAAAGCATGAGTGCTTTCCAGGGCGGGAATGATGCCCTCGCGCCGCATCACGTGCTGTAATGAGGCCAGGACATCGGCGTCTGTGGCGGCTTCAACGCGGATACGGCCAATGTCGTGCAGGTACGCCAAGACGGGCCCTACGCCAACGTAATCCAGACCTGCCGAGACCGAGTGTGTTGGCCGCATCTGCCCCTCGGCATTTTGCAGGAAGCGTGTTTTGTAACCCTGCGCAACCCCGGTGGACCCTACGTTGCGCGCCAGCCGAGCCGCATGCTGGCTGCTGTCCAAACCCAGTCCGCCCGCTTCGACGCCTACCAACTCCACCTCCGCGTCGTCCAGAAAGCCGGCAAAGATCCCCGAGGCATTCGATCCGCCACCGACACACGCATAGACCCTTTTGGGCAGCTTGCCAGTCTGCTCCAACATCTGCGAACGGGCCTCCCGGCCAATGAGCGATTGGAAGTAGGTGACCATCTGCGGGAAGGGATGCGGACCGCACACCGTGCCCATGACGTAGTGCGTCGTATGCATCGAGTCGGCCCAATCGCGCAGCGTGGCGTTGATGGCGTCTTTCAGCGTCTTGGTGCCGTCGTCTACGGACACCACGCGTGCGCCCAGCTGCTCCATCCAGAACACGTTCGGCCGCTGCCGCTCCACATCCACCGATCCCATGTAAATCGTGCACTCAAATCCCATGCGTGCCGCCATGGTTGCCGTGGCCACGCCGTGCTGGCCGGCTCCCGTTTCCGCAATCACCCGCTGTTTCCCCATGCGCTGCACCAGCAGTCCCTGCCCCATCACGTTGTTGACCTTGTGCGCGCCGGTGTGGTTCAGGTCTTCCCGCTTGAGTAAATCTGTGCGCCGCCAAGATCCTTACTCAAATTTTCCAAATGGGTCAGTGGCGTGGGGCGGCAGGAGTAGTTCGACATCAAGGCAACGTACGTATCCCAGAAGGCAGGGTCGGCCTGAGCGTCATTGAAGGCTGCCGTCAATTCCCGAATGGTTTCGTGCAGGATTTCCGGGATGAAATGCGCCGCCAAACTGTCCGTAATAACCCTCGCGGCCGACGGGAAACTGGAAAAGCTCGGCGTACATGGGGCGCTGCTCCCTCTCCAAAGGTATGCTCTGGGCTTTCTTGTTCTGAAGACAGTGTATGGTAGCATGATTTGCCTGTATGAAGTACCTGCGGAGACCGTTACAACACGCCGAGAGGAGCGTATCCATGACCTTGAAGGACCAAGCCTGCATCGTGGGGGTTGGGGAAAGCGCTTATACCAGAGGGTCACAAAAAACCGTTCTGCGTCTGGTGCTGGAAGCCTCCCGGCACGCCATCCGCGACGCCGGATTGACGGTGCAGGACATCGACGGCTTCGTTCTGTCCTCCTCCTACATCTACCAGGAAGCCCTGGCCGCCAATCTGGGGGTGGGCGATCTGCGGTACTCCACGACAGTGCAAATGGGCGGTGCCAGCCCGGTGACGGCCTTACAGAGCGCTGCCATGGCCGTCACCCTGGGCGTCGCCCGCAACGTGCTGGTTCCTTTTGGCTGGAATGGTTACTCGGAAGCACGCATCAGTCGCCGCGAGCGGCCCGACGCGGCGCCACGGCCCGATAACGCCCTGAGTCAGGCCCTGCGCAATTACTATGCCCCATATGGTGCCCTGGCCCCGGTTCAGCACTACGCCTGGCTGGCGACGCGGCATCGGGAACTCCATGGCACGACGGACGAAGAAATGGGCGAGGTGGCCCTCGCCAGCCGTTCCCACGCTCAGCACAATCCCCGCGCCTACATGTATGGTCGTACGTTGACCATGGAACAGTATCTCCAATCTCCCATGGTTGCTTCCCCCTTCCGTGTGCTTGACTGCTGTCTGGAAACGGACGGCGCCTGTGCGGTGGTGGTGACCTCGGCGGAGCGTGCTCTCGACCTGCAACATGACCCCGTCTACATCATGGGCATTGCGGAAGGGCATCCCTACCCCGCCGACGACATCCCGAATCGCTCCGATTTCTTCAAGATTGGCCTCAGCTTTGCCGCACCGCACGCCTTCGGAATGGCTGGTGTGACGCCTCGGGATATGGATTTTGCCCAGATTTACGACTGCTTTACGTACGTCGTGATGCTGCAGTTGGAAGCGCTTGGTTTCTGCGGGGCGGGCGAGTCGCGTGAGTTTGTCAAAGGCGGGACCTTGCGAATCGACGGCGACTTGCCCTGCAACACGCATGGCGGTTTGCATTCCGAGGCGCACGTTTGGGGGCTCAATCACGTTGTGGAGGCAACCCGGCAATTGCGACATGAAGCCGGCTTGCAGGTGGAGGATTGCGAGTTGGGCTTGGTAACCGGGTTGGGGGGATTTCGGCGACGGCAGCCTGGTCATTCTCAGGAGATAACCGATGGAAGCCTATAATAAGCCATTACCTCGGGGTGAGGACTTCAACGGCGAGTTCTACCGGTTCTGTAAGCAGCACGAATTGCGCTTCCAGCGCTGCCGGGATTGCGGAGCATGGCGCCACATGCCCCGCGAGAGCTGTCAGGCCTGTGGCTCGTTCAACTGGACCTGGGAGCGCGCCGCCGGCAAGGGGCAAGTCTTCAGCTGGACGGTGATTCACCGCGCGTTGCATCCCGGCTTTGCGGATGAATTGCCGTATGCTGCCGTTGTGGTGGAATTGGAGGAGGGCGTCCGGTTGGTTTCCCGCGTGCCTGATCTGCCTGTCGAGCAATTGCGCGTGGGTCTACCCGTAGAAGTTATTTTCGATGACGTAACGCCGGAAGTCACCTTGCCGAAATTCCGGCCTTCGGCGTAGCTCACCGTTCCGTGGCGCGAAATCAGACAATCATTTCCTCAAACGATTGACCTGGCGGCATCAGGGGCAGGCATTCCTCGTAAGGCGTTACAAACTCGATGAAATGCGGCCCGCGGTGGGAGAGCGCGCGTTGCAGAGCGGGTTTCACGTCTTGCGGCTTGCAGACGCGGTCCACGAAGTCGGCATCAAAGCCATTTCCCTGGGCCAGCAAGGTCCAATTTTTGCCGCGTTTGACGACACCCGTCTCCCGCCCCTGATAGAAGCGGTGATTCCACATTCGCACAATGCCGTAGCCGTCGTTGTTGAGCACCAGGACCTTTACGGCGAGATTTTCTTCCCAAATGGTTTCCAGCTCAGCTTCGGAGAAACGCAAGCTACCGTCGCCAGCCAGACAGATGACAAGGGCATCAGGCTCCGCCATTTGCGCTCCAATGGCCATGGGTAATCCGGAACCCATTGCACCCTGGCCGCCGGAAGTCATGAATTGCCAGCCTGGCTGCATGGCCAGATATTGCCCAGCCCACATCTGGTGGTCGCCGACCTCCGTGGTATAGATGACCCGGCACGGGTCGGCAGCAACACGTTGTTCCACGGCCTCATTGAGTTGCTGCATGACGTGCTGCGTTTGCAGCAACTCCGGGCGGCGGGTGTAGGTTGAGGGGTATTCCTTCTCAACTTCCGCAATGGCCTGACGCCAATCGAGATAATCGATTGTGCCCGTAAGCCGGCGCCTCAACGCGCCCAATGTCTCCTTCAGGTTGCCGACGATTCCGAGTTTCCGTTCGGGCAGCACCTTGCGAATTTGTTCCGGGTCAATGTCGAAATGGATCAGGTGCTTGGCCTGTGGCGCGAACCGGGCTGTGTCCCCCGTGATACGGTCGTCGTAGCGCGAACCCAGCGAAACGACGAGGTCGGCATGGTGCACGATCCAGTTGGCGACGTAGAATCCGTGCATGCCAAGCAATCCGTAGTTGCATGGATGCGATGTGGCAATCGCGGGCTTGCCTGGAATCGTGTAGACCACCGGGCTTGGCACGGCTTCCAGGAATTGCTCCAGTTCGCGCTCAGCACTGGCCAGCACCAAACCGTAGCCCGCGATTACGACAGGCCGTTCCGCGGCGTTGAGATGGGCTATCACCTCGTCCAATTCAGCGTTCAGGGTTTCATCAAACGTTTTATCTGAGATGGCTGAATTGATCGGCTCCAGGTCCGCGCGATACGCATCAAGATCGACCAGCGACTGTTGGGCATCTTTTGTGAGATCGATCAGCACTGGCCCCGGCCGACCATCTCGGGCAAGGTGAAATGCTTCACGGACCACGTCAGGCATCTCTTCGGGACAGCTCACGTAATACACTTTCTTTACGGTTGGCGCGACAATTCCGGTGATGTCTGTTTCTTGAAAGGCATCGGTGTTACGGGCAAACGTTGGCACCTGACCCGTCACAACCACCAAGGGCACGTTGTCACGGTAAGCGTCCGCGATGGCTGTAATGGTGTTGGTTGCGGCCGGTCCCGACGTCACCACACACACGCCGACTTTGCCCGTGGCCCGCGCATACCCCATCGCAGCCCACGCCGCGCCCGGTTCGGTTTGGAAGATGGACATTTCCAGGTGTTCTGCTTCCTGCAGGGCATCCATCCCTTCCATGATGGCGCCGCCCGTTAAAGCCATAACTTGTTTCACACCCTGAGCCCGCAGCAAGGCGACGAACAAATCAGCGCCGCGGTCTTTAATCCTTGGTACGTATGGTGGGCTTTGCAAGCTCATAATAACTGAATATCTCCACATGCCTAATGTAAGGATTCAAAATGTTTTTCATGTCGTTCCAACAAGACCTCACCATATATAAGTCATTTACAAATATCAATTGCTTTTAGCTGCCGGAGCTTTTCCGTAACACTCAGACGCCCAGATGAGTTTTACGGCTGGTGTTCCGGGCGCAGGAGATCGAACACGGTTTTGACCGGATTAAAGGTGCTGAGAGGCACCTCCACGAACACCGTGTTCCAACGAGCCATGGCGCCGTTCCACAAGCCTGGAAGCTCAAGGGCTTTCAGAGGGCGCCCTTCATGGGTCTTGTGGGCGATGAAATAAGCGTCCTGGTCTCTAAACGCCTCAAGCTCGAAAGGCCGACCTTGGTAATCACGCATTCCGCAGACAACATCCACAGGATTGAAGTGGGTCGAGGCGTTCAAAATGGCGCGTTGCCCCTCTGCCGAGGTGTCGACTTGCGACTTCTCAACGATTTGCAATGATAGGTCGCCCTCCGCGCTTTCCGTCCAGAATGGTCCGCCGCCCGGTTCCCCGAGGTTCTTCACCACGCCGCAGACGCGCAGCGGTCTGTTGAGCTTCGCAAATAGAAATTTGGATTGCTCGGATATTGATTGACCTAAGATGTCTTTTGGTATGCTTAATGACAAATTTTCTTTGGCAAATGTGAAAGTGTGCTCTATCTGCCGCGAATTCACCTGCCCTGCCGACAAACGTCTCAAATGGGTGAATATCTGATCTTGCAATGTCACAAGATAACCACCCAAGGCTCTCTTGTAGGTATACGTATCATCCTTGAGGCGTCCATGAACCACGTTGTCGATATTGTTCAAGTGAACTATATCGGCCTGGATTGCCTGTAGGTTCTCAAGTAGTGCGCCGTGCCCCCCCGGCCTGAATAGCAAACGATGATGTCGATCGCGGAAAGGACGATTGTCAGTATCAACTGCAATCGTATCGGTTGAGGTGTGTTGGTGCGACAACGTGATACGGTACTGAATGCCGGTTGCTTTGTAACGCTCCTGCATCTCCTCAATAGTATTACTGATCTCCACCTCACATCCTGTGCTGATTGTAAAGTGCACTCGAACGACACGATTCCGGTCGAGGGTATGTTCTGCGGCGTCCACCATATGTTCTTGCAAAGGCGTTTGACAATAGTCAGCGGCGTAGCGATGGAATTTGATTAACGCCTTGGGCAGATTGGCGTAATTGAGTCCACGCGAGGTCAAGAGATGTCCCAAGATTTTGTGAATTTGGCCTTGGGCAATGCATGTCTGGATATCCAGTCCTTCAACGCGCAATGCTGCTTCCAGATCATCATAAAACGCAAAGCGGTGTAGCTCCGTCAAAAACTGGCTGGAAGTCGTATCTTCGTCGTCAGGAGGTATGGGCGCCGTTTCAAACTGCTGCAAGAGTCCCTGAAACATCCGCGAGGCCGCTCCGGACGCCGGCACAAATTTCATGACCCGACCGGTAGCAACAGCCTCTGCATATCTGCGTGACAAGACCTCCATCTCATCCGTGCGAAGTATGACAATACCGTCGCCGACCGTGCAGGGTCGATGGAGTTTAATCCATGGCGTTCCTTTCCGGAAAAGAGCCAGTTGTGCCGCGATAGTTTCCTCCGTGATTCCTCGGGAGTTTATGACCTGCCGGTCCTCCAGTGTCGGGAACTCTCTCGACATATCCGTCCTTTCTTTTCATTGAGCCTTTTGCGAAACTGCGGAGTCGTCGGGAATTATTGAGGGTAAGGGGTTGACATAAACGGGACAGGCTACCTTTGCTTCATGTCATGTGTTGTGCGACCACCACGTGAAGGAGAAAACGGCCATGTCCTTGCGTACGATCCTATCGAATTACGGCTTCGCCTTCCAACGAGAGCTTTTTCCCACACTCGAAGAAGAACTCGGTCCCTTGGGCGAGCGCTACGAGTTATTCGTCACGGTGCTCGGGTTCGTGCCGGTTGAGCCATTCCTGACGTGCTGGCGTGGCTTGCCGGGGCGCGCGGCGATCCCCAGCGAGGCGACCTTCTCGCGGGCCTTCAGCGACTTCGCTGACAGCGCCTTGCCGAGCCGCCTGCACGAGGCGCTGATCGACAAGACCCTGCGCGATCATCTGGTCGGCCACGTCTCACGCGATTCGACGGCGATCTTGGGACGTGAGAAGCCAGCCCCGAAGCCGCGGGCGACCGCGCAAGGCTGACGCGCCAGTCCAATATGACCCTTCCGGAGATGCTCGCCAACCTGCCACGCACCTGTGATGTTGGCGTCAAGCGGGACGCCAAGGGACATCAGGAATCATGGAGCGGCTACAAGTTGCATATCGACGCAGCCGATGGCGGCGTTCCACTCAGTTGCATCCTGACCTCGGCCTCGTTGCATGACAGCCAAGTGGCGATTTCCCTGGTGACCCTGACGGCCGCACGAGTCACCAACCTCTATGACCCCGGATCAGGTCCGGGGCAGGCTTTGATGGACTCGGCTTATGACGCGCCCGAGATCAGAGCGCACCGTGAGTCGCTGGGGCATGTTGCAATCATCGACGCCAATCCCCGCAGTGCTTCGCGTAAGCTGGAACGGAAGACCGAAGCGCGGGCGCAGCGCACCGTCGGCCACGTATACGCCGAGCAGTTACGCTACCGTGAGCGCACGACCGTCGAGCGTGTCAATGGAACATGGGACAGGGAGAGGTTCGCGGCAAAGCATATCCTGTTCCGGGAACGCGATGACGAACGACTACCTAGCGAAGATGCTCCAGGGCGCCGTAGGGTAGCGGAAGGAACCCACAATGCCTCTGCTCGACATCCTGGAACTCAAAACCGATCTTCTTGATGGCGGCAAGCCGGAAGCACAGGCCAGTTATCAACAGTGTGCGCTCGGAGGTGGAAGCGTTGCGAACAGAGTTGAACCAAACATTTGAGGCGCTGTGGAGTGACCTCAAGGCGCTGAACGTCAAACTGAACCTGCTGCTCGTCATCAATATATCGCTACTCCCCACCGTGCTCGCCCTGCTGTGGAAGACCTTTTTCGCAACGCCGTGATAAATCAAAGCCGGAAAGCCATCAGACCCGTACGACATCCCACACCCCGCGTTGACTCTACTCCACCTATACCGTACCCTGGCGCCTCCATTTTCCACACGTCATCGACCCCTACGCAGGCCAGCCAGAGCGAGCGAGTCGAGTCGAGTCGAGCGTATCAGATACAAGCAGCGCGAACGAAGGGAGCGATGCCATGAGCGAACAGCCACTCAACCGGATCAGCGCCAACATCACCCAGCCCCGCTCGCAGGGTGCGTCGCAGGCCATGTTGTACGCCACCGGGATGACCGAGCAAGACATGCACAAGGCCCAGGTCGGCATCGCCAGCGTCTGGTACGAAGGCAACCCCTGCAACATGCACCTGAACGATCTGGCCGCCACGGTTAAGGAAGGTGTCGCCAACGCCGGTCTGGTGCCCATGCGCTTCAACACCATCGGCGTCTCCGACGGCATGTCCATGGGCACCCGCGGCATGTGCTTCTCGCTGCAGTCGCGCGACCTCATCGCCGACTCGGTGGAAACCGTCATGGGCGGCCAATGGTACGACGGCCTCATCACCATCCCCGGCTGCGACAAGAACATGCCGGGCGTCATGATGGCCATGGGGCGCGTCAACCGGCCCGCGCTGATGGTCTACGGCGGCACCATCCGTCCGGGTCACAGCGGCGGCAAGACCCTCGACATCGTCTCCGCCTTCCAAAGTTACGGCGAGTATATCGCCAGCACCATCACCGACGACGAGCGCCAGGACATCGTGCGCCACGCCTGCCCCGGCGCCGGTGCCTGCGGCGGCATGTACACCGCCAACACCATGGCCTCGGCCATCGAAGCCATGGGCATGTCGCTGCCCTACAGTTCCTCGAACCCCGCCACCGACCGCGCCAAGATCGCCGAATGCCTGCAGGCCGGGCAGGCCGTCCGCGCTCTGCTGGAAAAGGACCTCAAGCCGCGCGACATCATGACCCGCGAGGCGTTCGAGAACGCCATGGTGATGGCCATGATCCTCGGCGGCTCCACCAACGCCGTGCTGCACCTCATCGCCATCGCCCGCGCCGTGGACGTGCCGCTCAGCATCGACGACTTTCAGGACATGAGCGACCGCATTCCCTACCTGGCGGACCTGAAGCCGAGCGGCAAGTACGTCATGGAAGACCTGCACAACATCGGCGGCACCCCGGCGGTGATGAAGTACCTGCTGGACCAAAAGCTGCTGAAGGGCGATTGCATGACGGTGACGGGCAAGACGGTCGCCGAGAACCTGCGCGACCTGCCCGGCCTGACGGAGGGGCAACCGATTATCCAGCCGCTGGAATCGCCCATCAAGGAAACCGGCCACCTGCGCATCCTCAAGGGCAATCTGGCGCCCGGCGGCGCGGTTGCCAAGATCACCGGCAAGGAGGGCCTGGTGTTCAGCGGCCCGGCCAAGTGCTTCGACGCCGAGGAGGACATGCTGCACGCCCTCGAACGGCACGAGATCAAGAAAGGCGACGTGGTGGTGATCCGCTACGAGGGTCCCAAGGGTGGGCCGGGCATGCCGGAAATGCTGACGCCTACCTCGGCGCTCATAGGCGCCGGGCTCGGCGGCGACGTGGCCCTGCTGACCGACGGACGTTTCTCCGGCGGCTCGCACGGCTTCATCATCGGCCATATCGTGCCGGAAGCCCAAGAGGGCGGACCGATCGGTCTGATCCAGGACGGCGACCTCGTCACCATCGACGCCAAGCAGAACCGCCTCGAGGTGTCGCTCACCGACGACGAGCTGGCGGAACGGCGGGCGCAGTGGACGATGCCGCCTTACAAGGCGACGCGCGGTACGCTGTACAAGTACATCAAGACCGTCAAGAACGCCTCAGAGGGGTGTGTGACGGACGAGTAACGACGCGTCAGGCGCCGGGCGCGCGCGGCAGGCTGACCAGATTGGCCAGTAATCGGTAGGCGCCGGGGACGCCGGCGGGAAGCTGGCGGAACAACGCATAGGCGCAGTAGATGTAGTGGCCGCGGCCCAGCCGGGCGCGCAGCAGCCCGCCGCGCCGGGGCGGCTCGTCGGGGTCAGCGCTTTCGAGCAGAGGTGTCATCTGCGGCGGCCATTCGGCGAGGAAATAGAGGCCGCGCTCCTGTTGCCAGCCGGCGAAATCCTCGGTGTCCAGTCGATTCGGAAAACTCAGGAGTGGATCGTCCGCCGCCAGCAGGCTGACTGGCGCGCCGGCTTGGCTCACCCTTGGAGCCGGACGCGGTAGGCTGACGCCGTCGAAGGGCACGAAGCGGCTTGGGCCGTCATCGCGCGGCTTGTGATATTGCACCACCACCGTGCCGCCGGCGCGCGTGTAGTCCCACAGCCGCCGGCGATGCGCAGCCAGAGAAGGGCGCGTTTCGAGGGCCCGCACGCCGACCACGATCGTGTCGAATCCCGCCAGACTTCCGTTCTGCAAATCGTCCTCATCAATTGTCTGGACGCTGACGCCAAGCGAGTTCAGCGCCTCCACAACGCCGTCACCGGTGCCCGGCAGGTAGCCGACCCGCAAGCCGGGTGCCGCCTCGACGGGAACGATGCTGACGCACACCTCGGCCGGTGCCAGCCAATACGCCGGTTCGACGTGCGGATAACGTACGTCCTGCCACGACCTGAGCCGCGAGACGGCCTTAGTGTCCACCGTCGGGGCGGTTTCATCCTGCCATTCGACCCCAAACACCCGTTTGCCGGATACGCCGGAATCGATAGGAAGCATTTGCTGCACGGTGCGTTGCTCACCCGCTTGCAGGCTGAGTGCGGCGGAGGCATGCGTTTCCGACCGGTCGCCGTCGAAGGCTCCCAGCACGAGTCGGCCCCGCCGAGCGGCGTGGGCGTGCAATTGCACGCCCACCGTTGGCGCCGCGGCGCGGGATGCGGGCATGACGATGAGGCTCGGCGAAACGGTGACGTTGACGGTCGGGCGAACCCGCAGCGGATGGCGCAACTCCCCACGAGCGGGGTCAAGCTCGCGCCACGCAACGGGCGCCGACAGCGGGATATCCAGAGCCTGTCCTGAACTGGATTCAGGGTCACCGGCGCGCAGCGTCGCGCGGACCCGCAGCGGCGGCAACGCGCTGGGCGCAAGGCACGGCAACGCCTGGTCAAAGCGATACAGGTCGCCATCGGGCGGCAGGCGCAGCCACGGTGGCAGGGTGGACGACACGGCGGTTGCCTCGTCTTGCGGCGCGGTGAGGCGGAACCGCGCCGTGAAACTTCCGCCGTTACATACTTTCAATGGGAGCACCGGGCCGTCGAGACACTCGGCCTGCCAACCCGGTTGCGCGTGCGCTTGCAGAGACGACAAGGTGACGTCGCTGTTACCGCGCAGGAACAATTCCGCTTCGATGTCCACGGTGCCACCCACAACCACGTCGGGCTTCATCACCAGCACCTCGAGGGCAAGACCATGGGCCTGCAGCCATGCTGCTTCGATGCGCCGCTGACATTCCTGCAAGCGGCTGAGCATGGCCGGCGACTCACCGTCGAGCTTCTGCATAATTTTCCTGAGCGCGCCAAGCGCTGCGACAAGCATGGGAGCCGTCCGTTCAGGCCGCTGCGGGTGAAACTGCTCCCAAGCCGCGTCCAGACGCTGCACGACGGAGGCAATGGCCGGGACGGCGTCCGGACGGTCGTTGTGGAACGCCGACGCCCATGCCTCCAGCCGCACCGGCAGGCCGTCCAGCGGGTTGGCATCCTGACCACCAACCGCCGGCGCGCCCGCGGCCACCCGGTAGACAACGTTCTGGGCGCCCTTCAGCGGCAACGCGCCCATGTTCTGCGAGCGGTGCAGGCTGCGGCCCTGCATGGCGACTTCAAAGCACGAGCGCCCGAGGAGCGGATCGAAGCGCCCGACGTTGACGTGCAAGTCGTCCGCCACTTGATGCGCGGCGTCCCGCACCCGCACCAGGAGGCGCTTCGGCCGCCAGGGAGGCAGCCCGGCCTGGACCTGCTCCGGGAACGCCGCCGCATCGCTGGCCAACTCGAACGCCTCGTGGGTGGCGGCGCCGCACGCCCGATGATGGCCGTGCCCGTCAATCGGTGTGCCGGTCCACACCGAGATCACCACGTCAGGCTGCAACGCCCGGATGGCCTGCACGATGCTGCCCACCAGACGCTCGCGCGGCCAGTGGGCAAAGGCGTCCTCGGCGCGCTTGGCATAGCCGAAATCGACACATGGCGAGAACAACTGCTCGGCGCCGTCGTAACGCCGGGAGGCCAGTAATTCGCCAGTGCGCAGCACCCCGAGGGCAGCACCGGATTCGGGCCCCAGGCAATTCTGTCCGCCCTCGCCGCGGGTGAGCGACAAATACGCGGTACGGACGCCGTGACGCAGGGCCAACTCGGCGAGCAGGGCGCTATCCTCGTCGTCCGGATGCGCCCCGACCATCAGCGCGCGCGCCGCCACCGGCAGGCCGCGCAAAGACAGGGGAAGGGAAACGGAAGTATGGGTCGATGCGGTGTGTTCGGTCACGGTGTTGCCTGTGCAGGGAGTGAATGTGGATAAGAGCGCAGCCATTATAACGCCTCGACACCGTGGGGGCAGGGGTTGGGAGGTCGGGTGGTTTGTGCTATACAGGAAGGACGCGGAGGCGGTCGGGTTTACCTCGCTAATGGCAACGATTTCCATCCCACGAGACAAATAGACGGACTCTCATGCGACAATTGAAGGATTTAATGGCCTGCGGCGAGGGCGTGGCGTTCCTGGCCGAGCGGGATATGTTTGTTTGCGAAGCGGAATTTGCGGCGCGGCTAGCAGGCGCCCGAGCAAAGGGCGCTAACGGACTATTTTGCGACTCCGCAAAGCAAGCCGGTTTACGCATTGCAGCAGATCTACACCGATTGCACGCCCTCGATGCTGGACCGCATGGCTTTGTTGCGCGATCTTGAACAACGGCCGGCCTGCTTTCCCTTTTTCCTATGGATCGACACGGACCTGGCCGGTAGTGACCCGCTTATGCTGCGGATGCTGTGGACGGTATTCGGCAAACAGGTGTCGCTGCGCCTTTGCCCCGCCGCCAACGACGTGCGTGAATTGCGCTCCATCCCCGTTGAGCCCGCCGCCGTACTGGACGCACTCGCCAAGCTTGAGGTCTACGTCAGCCAATCCATCACCGGGCGCAAAAAGGTGATGCGCGCCCGCATCCGGGAGCGCCTGGACGCGCTGCGGACCGTCCTCCTGCCAGACCCACCCGGCGCGCACAGTGACCTGAATCACCGGTTAAGCTGTTTCCTGCTGAACAACCAAGTCGGGCCGAATCCGCGCTCCGTTCGGGTATCCGAGCTCCTCGCTCTGCTCACGGTGCCAGTCAACGATTTCATCAACCGCCTCGACGACGCCATCCGCGTCTTCAACGCCGCCGCCGAAACCTTGAAAACGCAGGCCATCGAGCCGCACGTCAAGCCGCTGGCGCCCGACTACCTGCCGCTGCACGTGTCGTGCCGCGGCTGCCGTCGCCGTTTGCGCCTACGCCGCGACGTGCAGGGCGTCGATCAATTCGCCGCGGCGCGGTGCAGATGCGGCGAGACGTACCACTTTCATCTGGGTAGCGGGCGCTTGTCCATCGACGCCATTGCCGACGCTGTCGACTGGAGTCCTGACGTGTCGCTGACCCTGTTTCTGAACGATCTGGTGAGCGGTTACGTCGCCGGCGCCAGTTCCGGGGCATACTACGGCTTGGTAATGGCGGAGGTGCTGCAACAGGTGTTCGGCAAGCGCCGCGTCCCCATCCTGCTGCCGCGGCTCGACGGCACCGGAGTCGGCAGCGGCTTGCTGTACCGTTATCTCATGGAAGGTACTGGAGAAGAATGAAAGAGACGTTGGATATCTTGGCGTTCGCCCCCCACCCGGACGACGTCGAGCTCGGCTGCGGGGGCAGCCTGATTGTGGCGGCGGACAAGGGCTGGCGGGTGGCGGTGGCAGACCTGACGGCGGGGGAGTCATCCAGTCGCGGCACTCTCGAGCAGCGAGAGCGGGAAACCCAGCGGGCCACGGAATTACTCGGCCTGACGGCCCGTTTTTGCCTGGGATTGCCGGACGGCGGCATCGGCACCCACCCGGACCATCGCATGCCGATCATTGACGTGGTGCGTCGAACGCGCCCGCGTATCGTGCTGGCGCCCTACTGGGAAGACCGCCATCCCGACCACTCGCGGGCCAGCAACCTGGTGCGCGAAGCCTGCTTCTTCGCCGGCGTCGGCAAAATCGGCGACGGTGAGCCGTATCGACCGCCGCTGCTGTACTACTACTTGCTGCACACGCCCTTTTCGCCATCGTTCATTATGGATGTGTCGTCCGTGTGGGAGCGCCGCATGGCCGCGGTGCGGGCCTACGAGAGCCAGTTCATGGCGGGCGAGAAGACGGCCACGACGGCCCTGAGCCGGCCCGGCTTCCTGCGCGCCCTGGAAGCGCGGGCGATATGGTTCGGCTGGATGATCGGCGCAGCCCACGGTGAGCCCTTTCTGAGCGCCACACCGATGGCCGTCGGCAGCATGCCGGGGCTGCCCACGCGGGACGATTTTCCTCGGGCTTAAGCAACTCGTCTAACGTTTATAGTTCTTCGCGTATCCCGGAAGCGCAATGCCTGCCCGGAGTTGCGGATCAGCTACCGGCTGTTCCGGCACCAAGCGCAACGGGACCTCACCCGCCCAGCAAATTGAGTTGATGATCCTCATCATCATCCACTGGCGGACCGGTACGAATTTTTGCCGACACCTCCTCCAAGGGCACTCGTATCACGCTCGTGGCCTTCAGTTCCTGAGTCGACGGTTCGCGGACGTCCTCCCATCGTCCAACCATGACGTGATCGACAATCGCTTTGAGGGCGGCCATCTTTTCATCAGGGTCGGTGACCTCCGTCGCTTGGCCGAGAACGACGACGGAGCGGTAATTCATCGAATGGTGAAACCCCGAACGCGCGAGCACCAGACCATCCAGCAGGGTGACCGTGACGCAAACCGGCATCATCCCCTCAATCGCGCCAGCATCCGGCTCGCAGCAGAACCGTGAAGATACAGATGATCCTCGATACGAGCGTAGATCGTCGGGATGACATACGGCTGACCGTCCACACTGAAGCCGACGTGACAATACAAGCCTTCCGCCAAAATGGCCTCGACAACTGCGGCGTCATACGAAGCGCGCTTCGGCATGCGGTGTATTCGGGTTCGCTCGGTTTGCTCAAACTGAGGCATGGATCGTCGCCTTTCTTTCATTTGTGCCCTGTCCCCTGGCCACCACATCTCCCGACGGGGTAACGCCTCACTTGAGATTCCCCCCTCACCCCAACCCCCTCCCTCCGAGAGGAGAGGAAGCAGTAATTCCCGTCCCCCGGTGAGGGGAAGCAGGGAGAGGGGGGATTCAAGACACCCTTTATGGCTGGTAAAGCGCCGTGTAGGCCCGTACACCCTGCTCCACCCCGAACTCGCTGGCGTGCCGGATGGCCGTCTGCCGCATGGCTTCGTGCCGCGCCGGGTCGGTCAACAGGTCTACGGCCAGATCCACGGCCTCGGCGTTGTCGCCAAGCGGAAAAAGTAGCCCGGTGCGACCCTGCATCACCACCTCCGGCAGCCCGCCCACGCGCGTGGCGAGCACCGGCACGCCGCACGCCATGGCCTCCAGGGCCACCATACAGAAACTTTCGTACAGGCTGGTAACGAGTAGCAGGTCGGCACCGCGCAGGAAGGGCGCCACGTCGCGCTGCAGGCCCAGATAAACGCACGTCGCTCGCGTAGTCGCTGCGGTCCAGCAGCTCTCGTACGGCGGGCAGGTCCTCACCGCTGCCCACAAGCCACAACTCGGCTTCCAGACGCTCACGGATGCCCAGGAAAATGCGCGCCACGCTTGGGGTGTCCTTGATCGGTCGGAAATTGGAGACATGCACGATACGGAGCGGTCGCGCCGGGTTAGAGAGCGGGGATACGTGCGGGCACGGCTTGAAGCGCGCCAGGTCGACGAAATTACTGACCACGCGCGGGCGAGAAGACAGGCTGAACGCAGAAGCAGCCAATTTCGCGTGGCTGAAGGAAACGGTGGTCAGCACGTCGTTGCAGCGCAGCGCGGCGGCCAGTTTCGGCGCTACTGCGGGGTCCTTGCCAAAATGGGTCACGTCGGTGCCGTGCAGCGTGCCGACCAGCCGGGGAGCCATGTCGCCCAGGCAGCGGCGCACGTTCTGCGCCACAAAGGCGAACGGCACGGCATAGTGGAAATGCAGCACGTCCAGGTGCTCGTCCGCGATGACCTGCAAAATGCTCTCGGTGTAACGCTGCAGATCGCGGTCCGACCAGTCGGTATGCAGCGTTGCCGGATGCCGGGTGTCGGCGGCGTCCGGCAGCAGGGTGTGCAGCACCACCCCATTCGACCGGTCCCAGCCGACCAGTGGCGTCGTGCGGGTAAACAGGTGTACCCGATGCCCACGCCCGGCCAGAGCAATGGCCAATTCGATGCCAATGCGGGCGCTGCCGCCGAAACTGGCGTGGCACATCATGCCAATTCGCATGCCTCACTCCTCTTGTTTTGGATTTGGTTGCTGCCCATTTTAGATGCTGCCCATCCGATTTACAAACCATCGAATTCCGGCCGGTACGCCACGACGCCGTGAATGCCGCCCAGGGCGCCCCGCTTCAGCGCCTGAACCATGAAGGCGTCCGGCGGCCCGGCGTGTTCCCAGGTGATGCCCAAGGGCTTGGCCGGCTTGAAACCGAAGCGCCCATAAAACTGCGGGGCGCCGAGCACGAAGACGAGGCCGTACGGCGTTTCGCCGCAGGCCGCCAGTCCTGCCCGCGCGAGCCGCGAACCGATGCCGCGGCGCTGCCGTCCCGGCAACACCGCCATCGGCGCCAGCCCCAGGGCGTTGAGGGTGCTCGTGCCGCCCCGGATAAATACCGGGCTGAAGGCGATATGCCCGACGACCGTGCCGTCCTCGACGGCCACCAATCCAATACGCAACGCGCCGACGGCCCGCAGGGCATCGACCAGGCTGGCCTCATCCGGCCGCCCAAACGCCTCGGCGTGCACCCGGCGGATGGCGGCGATATCGCCGGCGGCCTCAGGCCGAATGCCGCTCATGGGAGCCGTCTCTTCCGCTTGCTGCTTCACACGCAACAGCGCCAGCAGCGCCTCGTCGCGGCGCGCCGCGAGTGACTGCCCTTGTTCCGGCGTGTACGTATAGAAACCGCTGCCGCTCTTGACCCCGAGCCGCCCTTCGGCCACCCGTCGATGCAGAACCGACGGCACCTCGGCGGCGCTGTTCAGGTCCTGAAACAGATAGCCGGCGATGGCGTCGAACACGTCCAGGCCGCCGAGGTCGGCGATCTCCAGCGGGCCGAAGAGCGCCCAGCGCAGGCCGATGCCGTGCTTAATCGCCGCGTCTACGTCGGCAGCCGACGCAACACCGGCTTCGATGAGGTGCAGCGCTTCGCGCAGGAGCGCAAATTGCAGCCGGTTGGCGATGAATCCCGGCACCTCGCGCCGCACGAGCACCGGGCGTTTGCCCAGGCGCCGCGCCAAGGCCGTCAGCACTTCGCAGGTGGCAGCGGACGTTTCTTCTCCTTTGATGATTTCGACGATGGGAATGATATGGGGCGGATTGGCGTAGTGTAACCCCGCGAAACGCCCCGGCTGCGACACCGCCTCGGCGATGCGCGAGATGGACAGGCCCGAGGTGTTGGTGGTGAAAATCGTCGCGCCGCCGCATAACCTGTCAAGCGCCTTGAACAACGCCTGCTTGGCCGGCAAGTCCTCGGCGATGGACTCCGATACCAACTGCACGCCGGCCAAGTCGGCCAACGCCTCGGTCGGATGCAGCCGCGCCAGTGTCGCCTCCGCCTGGCCTGCCGTCAGCACCCCGTGGCGGATCAGCAGGCTCTGATTGTCCCGGATGCGCGATAAACCGCGTTGCAGCCCTGCCGACGAGCGGTTGTACCACCGCACGGTGTACCCAGCCTGCGCGAATACCTGGGCGATGCCCGCGCCCATGGTGCCGGCCCCCACTACGCCCACGTCCGTGATGTCTCCGAGTTCCATCAATCCTCTCCCCCGCGGCGGCGCAGCGCCCGCCGCCAGACAACAACCTTGCCCCTGTGCCGTGAATCCCATCATAATACGACACCTTACGAATCCCGGCGCCCGGCGCCGAAACAAGGAGACACGACATGTACGATCTGTTGCTGACAGGAGGCACGGTTGTCGACCCATCCGTCGGGCTGAGCGGGCGGCACGACATCGCCGTTCAGGACGGCAAGATTGCCCACATTGCACCCCTCATTGCGGGCGACGAGGCGACGCGAGTCATCGACGTGTCCGGGCGCACGGTCACGCCGGGCCTCATCGACCTGCACGCCCACGTCTTCGACGGCGTCATCAGCAACGGCGTGCATCCCGATCTTGGCGGGGTGCATTCGGGCGTCACTACGGTGGTCGATGAGTTCCGGGTGCGCTACCTTCAGCGCCTTTCCCCGCTACATCATGCCGCAGTGCCATACCGAGATCATTCCCTTCCTGCACATCTGCCAGACCGGCCTGGCCACCATGCCCGACATCGTGGCGGAAAGCAGCATCGACCTCGACGGCACGCTTGAGACGGTGGACCAGAACCGCGGGCTGATCCACGGCATCAAGGCCCGCATGGTGTCGCCGGCGCTGGAGATCTTCGGCATGGAGATGCCCCGCCTGGCGCGGCGCGCGGCACGCGAAAGCGGCACCCGGCTGATGGTCCACATCGGCGATACCGAGAAGCGCTATGACCCCAACGTCATCCGCGAACTGCTGCCGCTGCTGGACGACGGCGACATCCTCACCCATTACTTCACCGCCAACCCCGGCGGCGTGCTCGACGCCAACGGCAAGCTGGTGCCCGAAGCGCGCGAGGCGGCCAATCGCGGCGTCTGGCTCGACACGGCTCACGGGCGCATGAACTTCAGCTTCGACGTGGGCCGCCGCATTATCGATCAGGGCCTGCTGCCGCACTGCATCAGCACCGATCTCACGGTGCCGGGACGCCGTATCACCGTCCACAGCATGACGGAGATGATGAGCCGCTTTCCTTGCCCTCGGCTTCACCCTGGAGCAAGTGGTGACCATGTGCACCGAAAACCCGGCCAAGGCCATCGGCGCCGAGCACCGCCTGGGCAGCCTGGGCGTGGGGCGCCAAGCCGATATTTCGGTGCTGGATATCCGGGAGGGCGAGTGGGTGGTGTACGACGTGCTGGGTGCCAGTCTGCCGGTGCAGCGGGCCTTCGTGCCGGTGCTGACGGTCAAACGGGGGCAGGTCTTCGAGCCGGATTGGGGGCCGCGGCCCTGGGGCTGGGAGCCGGACCGGGCGCCGCTGGCTGGCGCCACCTTCAACGGCTGCTGTTGAGCGCTTATGAATAGCTCCGTACAACTGATTCCTATCGCCCAGCTAGCGCTCGTCTTTCTGCCGGTGGCGGTCGTGGTGGTGCTGCTGTATCGCTGGTCGCTGGGCGTCGGCACCACGCTGTACGCCATGGCGCGCATGCTGTTGCAGTTGCTGCTGGTCGGCTATGTGCTGACGTACATTTTCGAGACCCGGCACGCCGGCCTCGTCATCCTGGTGCTGGCCGTCATGCTGATCGCCGCCAGCTGGATCGCCCTGCGCCCCCTGCCGGGCAACCGGCGGCAGCGCTACGCCAAGGCGCTGGGCTCCATGGCGCTCGGCGGCGGCTTGACGCTGGCACTGGTCAGCCAGGGCGTGCTGGCGCTCGATCCCTGGTTTGAGCCGCGCTACATGGTGCCCCTGGGCGGCATGATCTTCTCCAACGCCATGAACACCGTGAGCCTGGCGGCGGAGCGCTTCGAGGCGGAAACCGCAAACCAAGCGCCCTACGAGCTGGCGCGCCGCACGGCCCTGGAGGCAGCGTTCATCCCGCTGGTCAACTCGCTCTTCGCCGTCGGCCTGGTGGCTCTGCCGGGCATGATGACCGGCCAGATCCTGTCGGGGGTGTCGCCGCTGATCGCGGTGCGCTACCAGATTATGGTGATGTGCATGACGTTCGGCTCGGCGGGCATTGCGGCGGTTTGCTACCTGATGCTGGTGAAGCCGCGTGGGTGATCCACCTGGAACGGCCCCGCACAGGCGCTATTGAGTCGGACATGTCGAGTCCTATGGAAAACTTCACCCATATTTCCCTGGAGGTCGAAGGCGATTTGGATACGTGGGAAGTCGCTGAAGAGCGCCCTCCCGGTTCAAGGGTGAAGCGCACCCTCATTCGCGATGGCGCCCACTTCATTTTCAAGTATCCCAAGAGTCAACGTGAGCACCAGATCTGGTCAGAGCTTCTTGGTTCGTTTATTGCGGGCGACCTGTTAGGTTGGGATGTTCAGCATGTATCTTTAGGTATCCACAAAGGGAGCCCAGGAAACCTCCTCCGCTATATTTATCAGGCCGACGCTGAAGATAAGGAACAATTTATTGAAGGTTGGCAGCTCTGCAAAAGAGGTTGATCCCGAATTTGACGTGGACGAAGGACAACGGCACACGTTCCCTTTGCTCCTCCGCGTGTACGACCAAGTGATCTCCCAGAGATATGGCATCAGCAGGATCGATTTCATGGAGTTCTGGTCTCGGGCTTTCGCATTGGATACACTCATATCCAACACGGACCGCCATGCTGAGAACTGGGCTATCATCGTGTCTCCATCCGGCGATCGAATGGCTCCATTTTACGACAACGGTTCGAGCATGGGATGTGAATATGAGGACCGGGGTCTCAACAAATGCTTCGGCCAAGACGGGCAAATAAAGCCAGCTTGGATCAGTCATTTCCGAGACCATGGAAAACACCACGTTCGGCTCGACCAACCGGCCAGGCATGGAGCCTTCTTCAAGCCTTTATGCTACAAGCTGCTGGACGAGTATCCAGAGGGCCGAGCGGCCTTTGAACATGCCGCCAATATTGACCTGGAGGCGGTCGGAGTGCTGACCCACGACATCATCCGACGCATTAAACTCCCAGAGGGTCACGCGCTCACGGAGAGAAGAGCGGCGCATATACAGGGCATCTCTAATAATACTCATCTTCCCACGTGGTTTAGAATCACAGAGACACGTTAACCAACAGGCCGGAGGAGTTGAACATGGCTCAGATGGGCTTTTTCGATGTCGAGAATCGCTACGCCGCTCTGGATGCCAAGCATGACCCCCTGGTGAAGATCAATGCCGTCGTTCCCTGGGAAGCCTTCCGCAGCCGCCTGGAAAACGTCTGGCGCAAGCCGCCCGACAAGCGTAAGTCCAATGCGGGGTGCAAGCCGTGGGACGCCCATCGTCATGTTCAAAAGCGATCATTTGTGCGCCCTCTACAATCTGTCGGATGACCAGGGTCGAGTATCAGATGCGTGACCCGCCTGTCCTTCGTGCGCTTTCTGGGGCTGGCGCTTGAAGACAGGTGCCCGACGCCAGACGGTGTGGCTCTACCGCGAGCAGTTGTCACACAGGCTGGCCTCTGGAGGCCTTGCTTGAGGATTTCGACGGCTATCTGAAAA